GTTATGGCAATGCGACTGTTTGCGACGGATTAGTCCGTCGCAAACCGTCGATTTTGCAAAAATTGGGAGCGGTATCGTACGTGTTTCACACAACGATGCTGCACCCTGACAGCGCAGCAATACGCATTGCTGCGCTTTAACATGTGTAGCTGCGCCGTGTTGCTGCACAGCAACACGTGTTAACTCACGTTAAAGCGCTTTAACTGCTACAATTACAAGCGCGCGCGGCCAGTGAACCATTCCTACCCCAACAGCTCAAAACTGTTTTGCTTGAGACTTTGACTACTGGTGTAATCCGGAGCCTTGATCACGAGTATTGAATGAGTGATTGGTCGATTTATTGTTTCCGGAAATTTATTGTTTTAACTCTTTCATAAAAAGTCTTGTAACCATGTTTTCCGGACCGTGATGCTTCACGACGGTTCTTCTCTCTCACGCATGATGATGGTCTGGTTTGCCGATGGAGCAGCTCAACGAAGCGACGAACGAAGGAGTGAGATACGCCAAATCACACGACTGGGACGAGGTGGTGCAGAGTGAAACCACGAAGATCCTCCTGATGTTACCCGACAGCTTCCGTCTCGTCAACAGCGTCTTCAAAGATCATCTGGACGTGGAACGTCGCCTATATGGGAACCGCAGTGAGATCGCCGGATTGCTGGAGAGATCTACGGCACGACTATTTATTGGTTGGCCCTACGACGGAGTCGCCCCTTCCCAAGCGCGACTGGTGCATACTTGCTTCTTCTCTGGCCAGAATGAAAGTTGTGACAGTCGCCCCACCTCGTGGAGACAAGGCGTACACTCAAAATCGAGCGGAGATAAATGATGCCATCAAGCTAGCGAAGTCGGCGGCCGCCTTGGCGAAGCAGTGTCTTTGCAGCCTCATCCCCACGATTGAGTCACCGAACGAACCGTCGCATGGACCTGGAGCTCACCCAAGAAGCTCTTGTGCAGAAGCATTTCACGGGAGGTCTTGAGGGAGTACTTCGACGTTCTCCGCGTCTACGTGAAGTCGGAGATGGATATCCCGCCACTGGAAGCAGCG